GTAGGCTGCACCAACCTGAGGAGCAGAGACGTGCCTCAGTGGGCTTGCCCGAGCCAGGGAAGTTGGGCGGTGGTCTGAGGGGAGCTGTCTGGAGGGCGCCATACTCCCCGGGTGCCGTGGTCACAGCTGTAGTCATAGGAACGAAGGGCTGGGGTGGGTGGAAGAGGAAGGGCGCAGGAGCAAGGGTGCCGGAATTACTCCATTCGCTGTGCTCTTGACTCTTTCAGGAAGGCCATGACTTTAATGAAGGCGTTCGAGCCGGTAAGTGACAAAGGGCGTTTGTGAGCATTCTCAGTTAACTTCAGTGGCTGTTTGAGTGGAAATTAAACTTTTAGAATGGTTGCTGTGTGCGTGTGTGTGTACAACATATGGAAAGGTGTCTCCAAAATTAATATGTTTCACATTCACATCCTGAGCATGTCAGACTCTGTCCCCGCTTACGAGTGTGTCAGGCCCGCCCCTCTACTCACAGAACCTGCCCCGTGAACTTGCAAACATGCCGTGCTGCCTTTGAAAGGTGCATTGATTGTTGCCTAGAAGCCCTCAGCTGCCCCTTCTTCCTCCTCCCTTTGTGCTGTTCCCTTACGACTGGGCAGTGTCTGCCCAGCACCCTCCTCCTGGTGTTCAGGCAGATGGCATCCCTGGGAGAGCCCAGAGGGCGGTATATGTAACGCCTTGCTCACCTCAAGGCAGCACAGTGAGGAAAAGCTTATGTTGTTTTTTCTAGCAAACTTGTAGCCATAGTCCTAAGTTTATGAAGAGCTGTTTTCCATATATAAAATGAATTGTTTTCTTCTGCATAAATTCCGCATGTCTCTTCCTGCCTCTGCCTCCCAACATAGCATAACTGGCCAGTTTTCTAGTTTTTTTAAATCATTTTAATAGAGTATAGGCACTCTGTGTGCACGAGCACACACACACACATGGGGGAGCACTCCGTGTGCACGAGCACACGCACACACATGGGGGAGCACTCGTGTGCACGAGCACACGCATACACATGGGGGAGCACTCCGTGTGCACGAGCACACGTACACACATGGGGGAGCACTCCGTGTGCACGAGCACACGCACACACATGGGGGAGCACTCCGTGTGCACGAGCACACGCACACACATGGGGGAGCACTCCGTGTGCACGAGCACACGCACACACATGGGGGAGCACTACTGCTCTACCACCGGCCTGTACTCTACAACCCCAGAGTAAAAGACTGTGTTTTCTACGCCCTGAGATTTGGTAAATTTCTGCTGTTGTAAAATTCTCTTAATTTGCAGTGTGACGTGAATAACTTAGTCACCATCAGAATGGTGACTCACACAGCAAGTGCTTGGCAGCTGTGGCACAGCGCGGAGGCAGAGACAGGCGGATCTCTGTGCGGTCCAGGCCAGCCAGAGCCGCATAATAGAGAGATCATGTCTCAAAAACAAACCAAAACCCACCACCAATAATAACCAAAAACTCAAAATAATTGCTTGTCAAACTACTTTTCTTTCTAAAATTGAGAATGAAAAAAAAAAAGTCTTTTATTATGAGACAAGGTTTACCATGTGGGCCAGGCTGGTCCGAAACCTGCTGTCTCGCTGCCTCAGGTTGCTGAGTGCCGGGATCAGGTGTGCACCACCAGGTCTAGCTCTCAGTGAGACAACACTGCTGCCTCCTGGCTCTGCCTCCTGGCTCAGCACAGACTCCACTCAGACAGTGGCATCTGCTGGGGGAAGACTGTCTAGTATTCTTGCTGCGATTTACAACTGTAATGCTGTGTCAGCAGATTTAACGTTGACGTCTTGGATGAGCTCCTTTCTGGTTACGGAAGATGAAAGTGAACCCTGCCAGCAGAGCTGAGGGCCAGAAGCTCTCCCTCCTGCGGGCCGAGCTTCCTGCACGGGCAGCATTTCCTGTCTTGCACAGATGTGCTCAGGGCTCACTCCTGTGCCCTTCAGTAGAACCCCATGGAGGTAGCCGATGTCAGCCATAACTGAAGGGGAAAAGTCGTGTGGGAAGCAGACCCCAGAGCCAGTCTTTTGTTGACAGTGGCTAGGAAACAGAAGCTTTCAGTCCAGTATAAAGCTGGCTGCATACCGACAGTCCCCAGGTACCCGAGACTTCATCTCAGAACAAAACGAGCACATGTACCTCTCCAGTATCTGCATTTGATCGTGCCTAAAGCTGTATCTATACAACAAGGCATCCCTCGTCCTTGGTTCCCAGACTGCGGCTCCAACTGTACTTAATTTGGATTTTTTCCTGAGTATCTATAGAGCCTGTGTATTAAGACTGGGAATACAGAAGAATGACAGAATGCTCGCCCAGGGTACAAGAGGACCCAGGTTCAGTTCCTGTGCTGTCACAGCCACAACAAAGCAGACATGGAAACACACACACTCTCTGTTTCTCTCTCTCAAACACACACATGCGGGCGTGCACACTTCCACCCTTTATTAAAGTTATGTATGTTAGGCATGTCTGAGATGTGCTACCATATCACACTGGTTTTTTAACTGTTTGCAATTGTAGGTTGAGCTCCCGAGTCCCCTCCCTCTACACATCCACACACCTTGAATAGCTTGTGTGTACCTGAGTCCACTAACCCCAGAAAACAGGATTCTCTTTTTGTTTTCTTAAGTGTTTACACTTAGGATCCTATGGGGATATAATGTGGCTACCCAGAGTGATATCTGTAATGAAATAGGAATAGAAGATTTTGTGATTACCTGATGGTGGTCTGATTTTTTGTTTTAATACTAAAAGATTTGGTAAAATGGTAACATCTACATTTAATTATGTATACAGTCTCCTTTTCTTTACCTCAAGTAATTAATTTTCTTCTCAAAGCCTGGCTGGAAGCCTGGGCCCTCTGTCCCCCATTGCCTCCCCTTCCCCTTGCACCAATATGTGATTTAGCAGTCTGCAATACAGACATTTCATTTAAAGTTCTGTCTGAGGATGGAAGAGGAATATTTAAACTGCCAGATTAGTTCACTGGGTTTTATTGAAAGCATAAACGTTGCAGAAAAATGTTCTATAGAAGAGAATGCCTAGTAAGACAGAGGTATCAGTGGTTCCATCTGATAGCAGCAGAGCAGGCTGTGCTAACATCTCTGCCTTCTTTTCACAGTTCTCATTGACAAAGACCAGAGTCCCAAATGGAACCCGGCCAGTCTAAAGGAAGTTACCAATGAAGACTTGAATAGCTATTTTAAATCTCTGGGAAGCAGTGATCTGAAATTCTGAGGTGGCCAGACCTCCTAAAGTTTATTTTGGAGCGAGGGTCAGTAAACATACCACCGAGGCTAGCTAGGTCTCTCAGCTTGCCTTTTCCAGCCTGCAAACTGGAAATGGTTTCCTCACTTTTAAATTGTTGGAAAAGAAATGAAAAGACTAGTAATGTTCTATGGTACGATGGTCACCTGAAGTCGAAGCACCAGTGTTTATAATGATTCATGATACAACAGTTAGCTGATGTCAAAAGCCAATGTTTCTAGAACTTTACTGCAGCAAAACCATCCTTGTAGCTAGGCTACTGGAAATGGTCCTGTGTGGTGGTTTGAAAGAAAATGGCCCCCATAGGGAGTGGCACTATTAGGAGGCGTGGCCTTGTTGGAGGAAGTGTGTCACTGTGGGGGTGGGCTCTGAGGTCTCCTGTGCTCAATGCTACACCCAGTGACACATTTGCATCTGCTGCCTGTGGATGAAGGCGTAGAACGCTCAGCTCCTTCTCCAGCACCACGTCTGCCTTGTCCCCCATGATGATAATGGACTAAACCAGCTGTAAGCCAGCCCCAGTTAAATGTCTTCCCTTTAAGAGTTGCCATGGTCCTGCTGTCTCTTCACAACAATAGAAACCCTAAGACGCCATGACATATACTGTATGGCCCTGTGATCTTCATCAGAAATGACTTGCTGGGTCCTGGTTTGAAAGATGGGAAACTCTCAAGTACTCCAGAGAGTCTTCAGTTACATTCTCTCATTAAAATGGTAACTTTGGCTTCCAGTGGTAGTTTATGTGTTCATTCATCAAATTATGTATAGATTAGCAAAAATAAAGACCCTGAAATTGGGAGGGGGGCATGCTAAGGCCTTACAAATGTTCATTTAAGAAAACATGAATGAATTTGGAACAACACTTAACAGAAGAGTTACTCTGTCAACAGAAAGGGGAAGGGTCTCACTGGAAAAGAAGCTCCATCTCCAGAGTGCTGTCTCTGCCTCTGCTGTTCCAGGTCATCAGAACATACCTTCCCAGTAGAAATGAAAGCATTATGCCTATTATTTGCAGTATTTGCTAACCTGAAAAAAAAATGAGGAATTAAGAAACTCCAGTCTCTAAGACAGACACACCCTTGCATTTTATAAGTTCTATCAAACTTTTGTAGGAAAAGTCAAAAGCAATTTAAAATAGAAATGTCTTTAGTAATTGGAGGTTGACAGTTTTCAAATATTTTATGTGTATGCATATTTTTCCTGCAGAGCCATAAGAGGGCATTAGATCCCTGGATGATTATAGGTAGCCATGTGGGCACTGGAAATTAAACCTGGGTCCTCTGGAAGAGCAGCCTGTGCTCTAAATTACTGAGCCGTCTCCCCAGCCCCTGGCAGATTTATGTCAGGATAACTTTATACTAGAGTCACCTTATCATTTGTTTTGTAACTTGGTGTAATTTCTCCTTCATCCCAGGCTCCTGAAAAACTAAGAGAATGAGGTAAGAGCAAAACCAACAGAACTGAAAGAAACTTTGGGCTCATGCCTGCCCCTCCCCACACAGGTGGATCTACTTTTCCTCAGCTCTCGGTTTTTATCATGACAACCTTTCCCTCCAGACAGTTCAGAAATAATACCACGATACTGACCACGTGTTACATCTCTAGTCTTAAAGCTCCGAAATGAGACCTTAATAACCCAAGGGCTTGTCTGTGTCCATGTTAGCAAGACATACTCGCAGTCTGTATGTGAGACATCAGTGGACCACACCACAAGTATTTGCTTCAGTTGAGTAAGTACTGATAGCTAATTTAATTGGACTTTATTATACTTACAAAAAACATTTTCACAACATTTTTCTTGGGAAAATACATCACTTCCGAGTTAACTCCTACAGAAGGGACTTTGCTAACAAAATGAGTTTTGTAGATAAAATGACAGCGAATTCTTTAGAGCTAGCACATCCGGCTCCGCGGGGAAACATGGCTGGCTGCGTCATTTCACACAGATACTACATGTGTATAGACTGACATACACATTACTGTTTCTTGACATCATGTGTCCATGTATAGCTTCTGATTTCTAAAATAATAAAGTGTAGACGTGTACTCTGTCCCCTCCCACCAGTGCCAGTGGGGACCAAGCAGGACATGTATAGCTTGCCATTTCTGTGCATTTATTTTAATGCCTAGGGGACATTTGATACAAAGTCCTTTGGGCTTAGACAATCATGTGTGTCTCCTTGAAAATTGTGCTTTAAGTGATAGTAAGTCTAGGTAGTTTGCAAAGAACTGATAAGGCATCTAAGATGGGAGAGTTCTAGATCAAAGGCCCGTTACCAAAAGGTGACGGTACCAAAGAGACAACAGCGAAGCGCTTTGTGGCATTTAGAGTCTTAGTAAATGCGGATTGGCACGTTGATTTCCTCCACTGATCTGCTTCCACGACCATGTGCTGATAGCATCCCTCCGCCCATACATGGATGCTCCGCACGCCCCGTCTAGTACGCCATCTTTCTGCTTATGGGGCCGCCTTCTCACTTATCTCCTCCTTAATGAAAGACTTCAAATGAGGATCAGATGTTTAATGCGAAGGCGTGAAAGAAGGCTGATTTCTTATCGGCGGGGTCTCGCTAAGGCAAACTCTGTCCTGACAACTATCCAGTGTGGTATAAAGTGTGCTCAACTCCTTCCTCACACATGGTTTATCCACCTACTACGAAGCTTTGTGGTTCCTTGTTCATGGGCTGATGTGCAGTTCTCATGTATTACAAAGACAGGTCTCTTAGAAGATACCATATCATTAAAGCCTGGCTAGGTGAGGGCACAGTGCTTGCTTCACGATAAAACCGTTCGTACTTGCTGAAAGGGGGTGGCAGCAGGGAGCAGACCTCTAGCTAGGTGTGACCTGGCAGACACCTCTGCTCCACCCTGGGGGGCAGGGGTCAACAAAGAAGAAACCTGAAGTTAAAGTACTCACGTGTAACCCCAACCCACTCGCTGTTATCTCTGTGTAGATGATGTCTTCTTGCTAGGACCAACATACATATTCTATATACTTAATTGTATATTTTGAATAACAGGAAACCTTGCAACAGGTGACCTCATATGAGAAACCAGATGAGTGAGAAACTCGTGGCCTGAGTCATCAGCACAGACGCTGGAAACTGCCGCTCTGTGAACTAGAGACTGTCCTTCAGGAAAGGGCTCCGCACTGGGAGGGACGGCTGGGGGGGGGGGAGGGGGACTACGCTTCCCAGGGCTTAGTAAAATTAGCAGAATGGCCAGGTATCTGAAAGCAAACCGAAAAACGGCTGTTTTAACGGCCTCTTTGCTCCTAAAACTTGGAGAATTCACTCCATTTGGCTTGGATTTCAGCACATTATTACAACTAGAGGCAATGTTTCTCGTTATTGGCAAAGCCAAGTACCTATTTATCTCATTCGCGATACCAAAAGCCTTTCTCCAGTGGTTTTGGATTTCAAGGATGCTGATAAACCGTATCGCTGAAGGGCTGGTGTGGCTGGGCCTATTCTCACTCTGGTTAGACTTGGTGTCTAGCACAGTTTGGTGACAATCCTGGACACTCGGCTCCATTCTTCCACTGGCTTTGCCCCATGGCTTCTGTTACTAATGAGCTTTCTATAGTTGAGTTCTTTAAATAAATAAAACAGTATATACTAATGTATATACTATAAATGCTTCATTTATAACATTTCTATAATCTGTGGCTAAGAGCGCCCTGTGACTGCTAAACCCCACATAGGTGCTCCCTTGGGGAGGAATGTTCTGTTCTGCTGTCTAGTGGAGAAGATTGCAACCCCCTGTATGCTGGCTCTGCACCCTCACCAGCACTGCCAGAGGCTTTACCCACGCTTAGCCATGACCCTGGGCTTGGCTTTTCACCTCGCAGACTGGACTTCTGTCATTAAGACATAGTGGATAAAAGGTGTGTCAAAGAGCTTCTTAATTCAATACTGTAAACTAAATGTCATGGCTTCTATAAATTATCCTTGAAAGATGGCTGTCATAGGCGAAGTTTAAATCATCCAGGCAAAGCAGTGGGATCACCCTGAGACCCAGGGCGTCAGTTAACCTTCTCACCTATAAATGAACTTCCTAGTAAGAGCATCCGAGGCAGCCCCCTTTCCTGCTGACTCTCTGATTATAAGTTCCAGTGTCAGGAAGTGGGCAGTCCCTGGCATACAAACAGGCTGTGGGCCACTATGGCTGGAGTTCAGTTCTTTGTCAAGACATTTTAAGGAAACCCCTTTTCATGGTCTGGGCTTTTTCTTTTTCTTTTGGTATATATTAACAGAAATAGTCATTTTAAAGTCGCTCCCTTAAAATAACCATTTGAAATTTGGGCACTTTTTATTCAGTGTTTTCTTTGGTGATATGCCATCACTGCCTCAGGAAGAACATGCTTGGGCAGACAGCTAAGCTGGTTGTTGGGTGCCACAAGCCCTCTGCCCCTCCTTCCTGTGACCCAAATTCAAGCTCGAGCAGATACACATCGATGTTAACAGGGAACTGCCTAAAATCGGATGTCACCGTAAGCATCTCTACACTAATATCATAGACGCGATTGTACATCCAGGTGGGGTTTTGAAACTTCTTTCGTGTATTTAAACTAGCACCGACTACATCCAGAGCCTAGCGGAACGCCATCACCCGGTGGCGATGGCGGTGTCAGAGCCCTCGCTCTCGATGTAGGGGATGTTGTAGTACTTGATGTTCTCACACACCCACTGCTGCAGCGCATCCTGCACGATGTCATTGGCCAGACGCTCTGCAAACTCGAGGACCATGGGACTGGGCTCCGGGAGGGTCTTCACTTCCTCTTGGACTTGGGGTCTAACTGGAGGAGAAGGGGTCCTGGTTTGACAGCTGTCATCGGGCATGAACGCTTCTTCGCTCTCATGTAGCTTGTGGATGTCTAATGTGGTCGGAAAGGGGAATGCTTCCTTTGACTTCATGCAGCCCATCCTGGAGTGCTTCGGCAGACTGAAGGCGAGCGGTGTTGATTAAGACGACGTCAACATCACCTTTGGGAAACGGCGCAGGGTTGTTGACGCGGCGGGGACCAGGCTTCCTCTCAGGCCACTCTGGAAACCTCCAGCCCCTTTCAGCACTCCTCGGGTCTTGTGTTCACCTGCCGAGAGAAGGGAGTTGTCACCGTAAGGTCCTGCGTGATGTGGTGACCCGGAAGTCCTTAGTTCCTTGAGAGAAAAGCAGGATTCTCAGCAAACAACCCCACGAGCCAAAGCTGGAGAAATCACTCAGTGGGAATGACAGGACACTCACCAGACACTTTCGTGAGCTCTTGAAAATTATATAAAAGTAGTTGGAATAAAATTTTACACGAACAACTGGTCGTTCTTGGACTGAATTCCACCCACATTTTTTTTATTTTATTCTTTCACGATTTCACACGTATATAATGTACTTTGAGCATCGTCTCCCTATGACCCTCTTACTCCTTAGTCAAACCATCAAACCACCAAATCCCTTCCAGGTCACCCCCCTTTTGTGTTTTCTGTTGTTTGTCTCTTCTTCCCACCCTCCCTCTGCTGCCCCCATGGGTGGGGGTGTCCCACCACATGTAATGGGGCAGTTTTAAAGTCAATCCTTTAACATAACCATTTGAAATCTGCGTCCATTTATCCAGCATCTGATTTGACGGTGCCCCCTTTGCCAGCAGATGTCCCCCGGGTAGGAATGAGCAAGCGTTCATGTCATGAACATTGCTCTCTAGGATCCCAGTTCTCCGGGCTCACGGAGACAGCAAAGCCTTCCCCTGGCTGGAGTATGGATGTTAGCAGTGTGCACTGAAAGTATCCCGCCTTTGCCCAGCTTTTCTATGTGTGTGTCTGCCATTTCTTCATCCCCCGTGGCCGCACACCCAAAGCTGTGAAGCCTGTGGCAGCCACTGCTGCTTCCAAAACGGTCAAAACCAAACCAAAACAACATTGTCTACAAAGAAAGTTCACCAGGACTTGGCACCTTCGTTTATGTATGGTGTATGATTGGGTCTTGCTAACCATGGTGACACTGGATAGTTAGGAGAGATGGTACCCACAGGTCCTTGACAGGATCCCCGATCCTTACTATTGGGGAGAATAAAGCAAAGTGTACTCCCGCCACCAGCCCCGTGAGCCCACACACCTGACCTGCTACTGGCCCCGTGAGCCCACACATCTGAGGCTGCTGTTCAGGGTCTGACTTTGTTCCCTGGCCAGAATTTTACAACGTAAGGGCCAGAAGAGGATAACGGTCTTCACATCTGTGTGTGCACTGGACAACACAGACACCCAGGAGCCACCTGGGTTTTTTTTTTCTTTCTGAATGAATTACATCCAATGAAGTTATTTTAAAATAAAGGTTTCTTATACCAGAGTTCCCTCATCCTACTCCTGCTGGTGTTTAGACAGTGAGTAGGCTACACTCTGTGGCGTGCCTTTGCGACTTAAGTGGGTGTTGTCATTGAATGGATTGTCTTAAGATGGGACTTTAGGGTTCCTATCGGTGACTACATCAGGGACATGCAGCCCCTGGAGAGCACAGATGAAACCAACAATTCCTGTCTACAGGACCTGATTAGCTTTTAAAAGGAACACTAAAATGTCCTAACATGGAAGTTGTTATTTTTGAGACCTCTGGGTCCCTAGAAAGTAAAAGCGACTATTATGTCAACTCACTTTTAATAGTTTGTCCTTAAAGAAAAGTTAACCTTTTTGAACTTACGGCTTGACAATTTTCTTTAAATGTATGGTTGTTCTTTTAATATACTCATAATCCCTACCACTAAGTAAGGATGAAAAGGGGGGAAATGTGTAGTTCAATCAAAATAATTTTAAAAAATTAAGATATAAAAACAGAAAAAAAGAAAAGGGGAACAAAGAGGAATTCCAGGCTTCTGCATTTAAATTTGTTTTGTATGTCACGCTTCATGTTCTGGATTTTAGAGAGGTTTTTCAAAGGGGGTATAGAATGTGTTGAGTGTCTTGCTTGCTCTGCTGAGCTCATTGAAGCTGGGTCCACCTTGACTACAGATCTCTAACACAGAGCATGCAATCACTTACCACAGAATCTATTTGGGACTGAGAAGTGATATCATCACTGGACAAAATTGACATGGAAATGATTAGAGCACTCTGTCATAAATAAAGGGGCAGACGTAGGTTTATTTGGTGGCTGCGTCCTCTACCAGTCTTCCATTTCCAGCCATGGCAAAGCCCCTTGCACTCTGACCTTGCCTGGTAAGTCTGCTCTCTCGTCTCCATGCCTCCTGCACTCACTCAACACCCTCAACACCACTCCTCTGGGCCCATACCCAATACTCTGAGGAACCCCGTCTTCAGTTTCCCAAGCTCCAGGTTTGGGCCAGGATGCACCTGCTCAGCAACCTCTCTCATCTAGACCTTATCCTATGTCCCCACCCTAAAACTACCTTCCAGGTCTAGCCTGGCCAGCGCACTCTGGGCTCTGGTGGAGCCTAGTGACTCCACAAACCGCCTGCATTCACCTCAGTCTGTGGATAGAGCCCAGCCCACGTCCAGTGTTCCAGCTCAGACTGAGGGGCCCTTCCCATACCCTTTCAACCTCCAGACCTGGGACAGAACACACAGCCAGTCTGCTTCCCCGTCTGCATTATCTGCATCAAACATACAACCAACAAGAAAAATATCCACGTGCACAAACGGAAAATAAAATATAAACGGACAAAACTGTCTCCTCTAAAAGCAGTCATTTAGAATTGTCTAGTAAGAATCACCTTGCTGAGGCCCAGGGCACAGATCTTAAAAGAACAGTCATAGACTTCATCAAAGAGTTCAAAGAGTTTAAGACAAAAACAGCTCGGTGAACTTAGAACATAAGGAGAAAAAAAAAATGTGTTGTGTGATGCACCCCCCAAACAAACCCCACAAAAATAAGGTTGAATGAAATGACAAAGGCAATCGAGAATTTAAAGCAGATTCGATAAAAAGACAGAAACATTGAGGAGAGTCAAACTGAAATGAAGACAGAACTGGAAAATGCAGTATCCCAGCTAGAAAAATGCAGAGGAACGTCATACACGTCGAATGGTTTAAGTGGAAGATAGACTACTGAAGGAGTTAGAGCACACAAGCAAAGAATATGAAAAAATTAAACACAGGAAAAGAAAATGCAGGAACTGTAGGGCTCCAAGATAAAACTGCATCTTCTAATTAAAGGCACAGATGAAAAAGAAGAATCCCAAGTCAATGGCATAGACCAGATCTTAAGAATATAAAAATAGACTTCCTCAAACTAAGGAAAGAAATACCCTTATAGATACAAGCAGCATACAGAACACCAAAGAGACAAGACCAAAAAAGAAACTACTCATAAGCTACCACACTTAAAACTCTAATTATGCATACAGAAGAAGCGTTAAAAGCTGCAAGAGAAAAAAACACATGTCACATATAAAGGCGAACTCACCAAAGTAACAGCCGATTTCTCAATGAAAATTTCTTAAGCCAAAGGAGCTTGAAGGAATGCTTTCTAAAGTTCTAAAAGGCGTGATGGCAGCCTTAACCTCTGTGTCTAGGGAAACTATTTAACAAAAATGGTAGGAGCCAAAAAGTTCTCCTGATAAAAACAGCCTTCATGTCTACCAAAATGATCTTATAGAATATTGGAAGCGGTACTTCAGACTGAGAGAGGAACACACATGGCCAAGACACTCTTTATAAAGATTAAGCAATAATTAATGAAATGCAAAGCACGACTAAAACAGCAAAAAAAAAAAAGTCAACAAAATTACTGCAGTATACACACCTTTGAATATTAACTTTAAAAATGTATGAACTCAACTCTCTAATCGAAAGACACAGGCTAGGTGAGTGGACTAACACAAAATCATCTTCCTGTTATCGACAGGGACTTGGCTGTAGGCACCGCTTTAAATTGAAAGGGTGGAGAGAGAGTACTCCAAGCAAATGGGACCAAAGGAAGCAGCGGTGGCCATCAACATAACTGACAAAATTCAGCTTCAAACTAAAGCTACACAGGAGAAAAAGGAGGGCGCTTCATTCCTGATCAAGGCAACAATTCTCCAAGATAACATTACATTACTAGACATACATGGAGTAACTCTGGGGTGCCCGATTTCATAAAAAAAAATATTGCTGAAATTAAAGATAGGTTAATACCAACCCAGTGCTAGTAGGTAATTTCAATAATGCACTTTCTCTAAGAGATAACTCATCTGGAAAAAGAATAGAAGAAACATTAGACATTTTACATCAAATGGACTTAATAGCAGAATATTCCACCCAAACATTCTATTCAGCAGTCTATGGAAGCATCTCTAAACTAGACCACATCCTAGGATGCAAAAAACAATCTTAAATTCAGAAAAAAATAATTCCAAGAGCCCCTTTCAGTCATGATGCAATAAAACTTAAAAGTGATTGCAAACCAATTTATATTAAGTGTAAAACTCATGGAGATTAGACAACTTATTAGTGGACAATGAACTAGCCAAAATAGAAGTCAACATAAATTTTTAAAAGTTTATGTAACTAAATGAAAATGAAAACACAATAATACCTTTGAGACATTTTTTAAAAAGTTCTTCAAGTACCCTTTATAGCTCTATATGCCTACATTCAAAACAAAACCAGGAGCACAAATAAATGATTTAATGATGCAACTCAAGAATTTAGAGAAACAGAAGACAAGGATCTCTATGATGAAAACTCCAATCTCTGAAGACATTATAAAATACAAAGACCTCTCACATTCGTGGGTTGTTAGAGTTAATATTGGGAAAATGGCCGTCCTACCAAAAGTGATATAGATTCAAAGCAATCCCAGTCAAAATACATATATCAGTCTTTACAGATATGAACAAAAAATTCATACACAGTCAGAGGAGACCCATGATAGCCAAAGCAGTTCTGACAAAAAAAAAAAAAAAAACAGTGCTGGAGGGTGATGTGGGAGTCCCCTCTGTGTGCCATGATTGCTGTTGATGAATAAAAAAACCTGCCTTGGTCTGTTGATAGGACAGAGCTTAGGTAGGTGGGGAGATGAAACTGAATGCTAGGAGGAAGAAGGGCGGAGTCAGGAACGCCATGGATCAGCAGCCAGAGGTAGACATGCTGAAACTTTTCTGGTAGG